TTCGACTTTAAAAAATTCAATCCTCGATGTTCTCCGGAGATTAAGGGGAAGAAAACTCAAGGGAATCTTCTAGAACACTATACAGAAGCTTTCCAGACCCATAATTAATAGATTAACCCCATGGACACCGAATAACAGCCCCATAAAAGGCGTTCTTTGACTTATTTGTCGAGAATTTCAGTTATAAAAAATTCAATTCTCGGTGTCTACTGTATATTAAGGAAGGAAACTCATAGAATTTTTTCAGTAGACCCTACTGATAATTTCCAGAACCATAATCGATAGATTAATCCCATAGACACCGAGTAACAGCCCCACAAAAGGGAGTTTTTTAATTAAATTGACGGAATTTCGACTTTAAAAAATTCAATCCTCGATGTTCTCCGGAGATTAAGGGGAAGAAAACTCAAGGGAATCTTCTAGAACACTATACAGAAGCTTTCCAGACCCATAATTAATAGATTAACCCCATGGACACCGAATAACAGCCCCATAAAAGGCGTTCTTTGACTTATTTGTCGAGAATTTCAGTTATAAAAAATTCAATTCTCGGTGTCTACTGTATATTAAGGAAGGAAACTCATAGAATTTTTTCAGTAGACCCTACTGATAATTTCCAGAACCATAATCGATAGATTAATCCCATAGACACCGAGTAACAGCCCCACAAAAGGGAGTTTTTTAATTAAATTGACGGAATTTCGACTTTAAAAAATTCAATCCTCGATGTTCTCCGGAGATTAAGGGGAAGAAAACTCAAGGGAATCTTCTAGAACACTATACAGAAGCTTTCCAGACCCATAATTAATAGATTAACCCCATGGACACCGAATAACAGCCCCATAAAAGGCGTTCTTTGACTTATTTGTCGAGAATTTCAGTTATAAAAAATTCAATTCTCGGTGTCTACTGTATATTAAGGAAGGAAACTCATAGAATTTTTTCAGTAGACCCTACTGATAATTTCCAGAACCATAATCGATAGATTAATCCCATAGACACCGAGTAACAGCCCCACAAAAGGGAGTTTTTTAATTAAATTGACGGAATTTCGACTTTAAAAAATTCAATCCTCGATGTTCTCCGGAGATTAAGGGGAAGAAAACTCAAGGGAATCTTCTAGAACACTATACAGAAGCTTTCCAGACCCATAATTAATAGATTAACCCCATGGACACCGAATAACAGCCCCATAAAAGGCGTTCTTTGACTTATTTGTCGAGAATTTCAGTTATAAAAAATTCAATTCTCGGTGTCTACTGTATATTAAGGAAGGAAACTCATAGAATTTTTTCAGTAGACCCTACTGATAATTTCCAGAACCATAATCGATAGATTAATCCCATAGACACCGAGTAACAGCCCCACAAAAGGGAGTTTTTTAATTAAATTGACGGAATTTCGACTTTAAAAAATTCAATCCTCGATGTTCTCCGGAGATTAAGGGGAAGAAAACTCAAGGGAATCTTCTAGAACACTATACAGAAGCTTTCCAGACCCATAATTAATAGATTAACCCCATGGACACCGAATAACAGCCCCATAAAAGGCGTTCTTTGACTTATTTGTCGAGAATTTCAGTTATAAAAAATTCAATTCTCGGTGTCTACTGTATATTAAGGAAGGAAACTCATAGAATTTTTTCAGTAGACCCTACTGATAATTTCCAGAACCATAATCGATAGATTAATCCCATAGACACCGAGTAACAGCCCCACAAAAGGGAGTTTTTTAATTAAATTGACGGAATTTCGACTTTAAAAAATTCAATCCTCGATGTTCTCCGGAGATTAAGGGGAAGAAAACTCAAGGGAATCTTCTAGAACACTATACAGAAGCTTTCCAGACCCATAATTAATAGATTAACCCCATGGACACCGAATAACAGCCCCATAAAAGGCGTTCTTTGACTTATTTGTCGAGAATTTCAGTTATAAAAAATTCAATTCTCGGTGTCTACTGTATATTAAGGAAGGAAACTCATAGAATTTTTTCAGTAGACCCTACTGATAATTTCCAGAACCATAATCGATAGATTAATCCCATAGACACCGAGTAACAGCCCCACAAAAGGGAGTTTTTTAATTAAATTGACGGAATTTCGACTTTAAAAAATTCAATCCTCGATGTTCTCCGGAGATTAAGGGGAAGAAAACTCAAGGGAATCTTCTAGAACACTATACAGAAGCTTTCCAGACCCATAATTAATAGATTAACCCCATGGACACCGAATAACAGCCCCATAAAAGGCGTTCTTTGACTTATTTGTCGAGAATTTCAGTTATAAAAAATTCAATTCTCGGTGTCTACTGTATATTAAGGAAGGAAACTCATAGAATTTTTTCAGTAGACCCTACTGATAATTTCCAGAACCATAATCGATAGATTAATCCCATAGACACCGAGTAACAGCCCCACAAAAGGGAGTTTTTTAATTAAATTGACGGAATTTCGACTTTAAAAAATTCAATCCTCGATGTTCTCCGGAGATTAAGGGGAAGAAAACTCAAGGGAATCTTCTAGAACACTATACAGAAGCTTTCCAGACCCATAATTAATAGATTAACCCCATGGACACCGAATAACAGCCCCATAAAAGGCGTTCTTTGACTTATTTGTCGAGAATTTCAGTTATAAAAAATTCAATTCTCGGTGTCTACTGTATATTAAGGAAGGAAACTCATAGAATTTTTTCAGTAGACCCTACTGATAATTTCCAGAACCATAATCGATAGATTAATCCCATAGACACCGAGTAACAGCCCCACAAAAGGGAGTTTTTTAATTAAATTGACGGAATTTCGACTTTAAAAAATTCAATCCTCGATGTTCTCCGGAGATTAAGGGGAAGAAAACTCAAGGGAATCTTCTAGAACACTATACAGAAGCTTTCCAGACCCATAATTAATAGATTAACCCCATGGACACCGAATAACAGCCCCATAAAAGGCGTTCTTTGACTTATTTGTCGAGAATTTCAGTTATAAAAAATTCAATTCTCGGTGTCTACTGTATATTAAGGAAGGAAACTCATAGAATTTTTTCAGTAGACCCTACTGATAATTTCCAGAACCATAATCGATAGATTAATCCCATAGACACCGAGTAACAGCCCCACAAAAGGGAGTTTTTTAATTAAATTGACGGAATTTCGACTTTAAAAAATTCAATCCTCGATGTTCTCCGGAGATTAAGGGGAAGAAAACTCAAGGGAATCTTCTAGAACACTATACAGAAGCTTTCCAGACCCATAATTAATAGATTAACCCCATGGACACCGAATAACAGCCCCATAAAAGGCGTTCTTTGACTTATTTGTCGAGAATTTCAGTTATAAAAAATTCAATTCTCGGTGTCTACTGTATATTAAGGAAGGAAACTCATAGAATTTTTTCAGTAGACCCTACTGATAATTTCCAGAACCATAATCGATAGATTAATCCCATAGACACCGAGTAACAGCCCCACAAAAGGGAGTTTTTTAATTAAATTGACGGAATTTCGACTTTAAAAAATTCAATCCTCGATGTTCTCCGGAGATTAAGGGGAAGAAAACTCAAGGGAATCTTCTAGAACACTATACAGAAGCTTTCCAGACCCATAATTAATAGATTAACCCCATGGACACCGAATAACAGCCCCATAAAAGGCGTTCTTTGACTTATTTGTCGAGAATTTCAGTTATAAAAAATTCAATTCTCGGTGTCTACTGTATATTAAGGAAGGAAACTCATAGAATTTTTTCAGTAGACCCTACTGATAATTTCCAGAACCATAATCGATAGATTAATCCCATAGACACCGAGTAACAGCCCCACAAAAGGGAGTTTTTTAATTAAATTGACGGAATTTCGACTTTAAAAAATTCAATCCTCGATGTTCTCCGGAGATTAAGGGGAAGAAAACTCAAGGGAATCTTCTAGAACACTATACAGAAGCTTTCCAGACCCATAATTAATAGATTAACCCCATGGACACCGAATAACAGCCCCATAAAAGGCGTTCTTTGACTTATTTGTCGAGAATTTCAGTTATAAAAAATTCAATTCTCGGTGTCTACTGTATATTAAGGAAGGAAACTCATATTAAGGAATGGGCTCTCAAATTGGCCGCCTTTACTGCGTAGTTAGCTTGACCTCGGGTACTGAGAGACGCTTGACTGGTCGTGAGCTATGATTGGAATGTTTTCTCGATGTTCAGAAAATCGTATTAATAATTTGTTAATAAAAATAAATTCATTAATTCATTAATTCCAATCAAAGGTGTTAATTATTATTAACCAGCTGAATTAATAACTTAGATCCTCACGACCAAACCCTGGAGGTCTGGAACATTCCTCGGGTGTAACAATCCCCTGGAGGAATTGCTCTCAAAGCTAACAAAATTAATTTAATTCAAACAGTTAAATTATTATTGAATAAAATATTATAAGACGAATTGAATTACCATTAATTTACTAAATGAGAAGTAGTATGGAAATTGAGCCGGGTGTGACCCCCAAGGCTCAACACTACCAAAGTCCAATATCTGGCGTCAATTGGTTTGAAGGAACTCTTTGGTTGCTAATGGCTTCCTTCTTGGACTCCTCGATGTTACTTGTTTCAACACTACACCACTTCTCTCGACACAATAACGCACTGCTCAGCTATTTAATGGCTCCCCGAAATACCCCCTCCTACTCTCTTTCTAGGGCCGAAGATCGATGCGCCAAAATGCTAGTCGACAAAGTTATCGATCTCTGGCGACTTATCGATTAAGGGTAATTTACCCTGTTACAAATTATATATCTAAATTCAAACACAACCTTTTTATACTAAATAAGAATAATTCTTCTTGAAAATATTTATTGTTTTTATTTATTAAAATATATAAATATTATTATTATTATTAAATTATTTAATGTCGCTATAGAACATTGAGGTCATGAGCGACTACATCAATAGTTTATTACATATATGTGAGAGTATTTTGATACATGGAAGTGATTTTTCTTTTTTATTTTAAATTTTGTCGTATAGTTTGGTGTCTTTCAGGAACTGTAAAAGCCTTCGGTTGTCTATTGGAATGTTGAGTATCTCTTGGAGCGTAGCTGATAGATGATGTTTGTTTCTCTGGTTGGTGTAGAGGTTGCAGTCAATTAATAAGTGCTTGACATTTAGTGGGGAGTTGCAGTTTTCGCAATTCGGTCTATTTGATTTTTCAAATAAGTGAGCATGTGTGACTTTGGTATGACCAATTTTGAGCCTGGTTATTGTGCATTGATCTCTGCGAGTCAGTTGGTGGTGAGGTGGTGTCTTAGTCTCATAGCTCAGTGTTGCTTGATTATCTGAGTTGTATGTCGTGTTCCAGGAGGTAATCCAATGCTTTCTTACAGCCGATTTAATGTATTTCTTGGTGTCTTCCCAGGTCGCCGGAATGTTGGGGTTCAACTGGTCTGCTCTAGCGGCGTTCTTTGCTTCTTCATCTGCTTTCTCATTTCCCTCAATGCCTTGGTGGGATGGAACCCAAACTATGGCTACTTTGGTTTCTTTGCTTTGGTGTAGAGTTTGGTGTATTTGTTGCACTAGGGGGTTTGTTGAGTGCAGGTCTCCTATGGCCTGTATGCTGGATTTGGAGTCGGAGTAGATCACTATGTTCTCGTTTGTTTGTGTTCCTTCTTGGAGAGCTCGCATTATTGCGTATAGTTCGCATGAAAAAATTGAGTAGGAGTCTGGTAGTTTGTGTGCTATTGTGCTATTTTCGCTGATGACAGCGAAGCCTGTCTCAGAGTCCATTTTGGAGCCATCAGCGTAGTACTCTTTATATTCGATGTGTTTGTTTTTAATCTCTTGGAACAGTGACAAGAATGTTTTGGAGGCTGTGATTTTCTTTTCTCGTTCGTTGAGATCGTAGTTCGTGCTGATTTCGACTGTTTCCCTTTTGAATGTTTTTTGGAGATTTAGGTTGGTTTGTGCCAAGTAGCTTTGGATTCTCGCTCGGAGTGGTTTTGGAGTGTTGGGGTGGTTTTGGTATTCAGTGTCTAAGTAACTATTTTTTGTTTGAAAGTCTGGATCAGTTGAAAGTGTTTTAGTGGTAAAACGGATTGCCAGTTCCATTCGTTTGAGCCTTAACGGGATTTCGTTGGCCTCTGCTAAGATGGAATATGTTGGGCTTGATCTGAAGGCTCCTACCGCTAGTCTTAACGCTGTTGTTTGGACCGAGTTCAGGAGCTTTAAGTTGGAGTTTGTAGCTGAACTGTAGATTTCTGCACCGTAGTTAAGTTTTGTTTCTATCAGAGCTTTGTATGTCTTTATTAGTACTTGTGCTGCTGATCCCCAGTGCGTGGACGCTAGTACTTTAATGATATTTGTTCGACGTTGGCATTCAGCTTTTAGTTGTTTAATGTGTGGTGCCCAGGTTAGCTTGCTGTCCCAAATTAGACCCAGTATCTTGATTTCCTCTAGTCTGGTTATTTGTTGGTCTCTTATGTAGAGCTTATATGGGCCATTTATTTTCTTTTTTGAGAATATGATGTAATTTGATTTTTGTGCTGAGAATTTGTACCCCGATGTTTGTGTCCATGCGTTTATGTTATCAAGAGCTGATTGGAACAGCAGGATAGTTACTGTAATGTTGTTTCCTGTGCCGACTATTGTTAGGTCATCGGCAAATAAGTAAGCTTTTAGTGGGGTAGGAATTGCCTCTAGGATTGGGTTGATTGAAACTAGGAAGAGGATGGTACTTAGTACGGAACCTGTTGGTACTCCGTTTACCGTTTCTACTGGGTGTGAGAGTGTGTTATTGTACCTGACTTTGATTGTACGTTGGAGCAGGAAATTCTTGATGAAAGCAAGGCTGTTGCCGGTGAGATTGGCTTCTTCGAGTGCTTTGATGACGTTTTCTTTGCATACGTTTTCTTTGCATACCATTTCGAATGCTTTTTCAATGTCTAATGATACTGCTACTAAGTGTTGTTTGTTTACGAAGGCATCACAGACGTCCGCTTCTAGTCTTGCTAGGTAGTCGGTGGTGGACTTAAAGTTTTGGAATCCGAACTGATGCTTGTCAATCCAGCCTTCTTTTTCCATTTTCCATTTTAGCCTTTTTGCTACGATTTTTTCTAGGATTTTGCACATGTTACACGTAAGGGAGATTGGTCGGTAGCTACTGGCTTTGGAGCTGTTTTTGCTTGGTTTTAATATTAGGACCACAGTTGACTGTTTCCAGAGTTCTGGGAAGACTTGTTCTTCCCAGATGAAGTTGAGTATTTGTAGAAGATATTCTTTTCCTTGAGCAGGTAGATGCTTGATCAGTGCGTTGGGAATGTTGTCTGGGCCTGGACTGGAGTCTCCACAGTTGCTAAGAATCTTGTCTAGCTCCCTGAGTGAGAAGGGCTTGTTGATGGGGTCCAGGTTACAGTTTTGCCGAGTTTTTGTGTTTTTCCTGTTTAGTGTTTTGTTTTGAAGGAAGGCTTGGTCGTAGTTTAGGTCACTAGAATTTCTGGCAAACGTTTCCGCAAGGTAGTCTGCTATTTCTTTGGCATCTTTAGCGAAGGAACCGTCCTTTCTAGGAAAGTTGTTGAGGTTATAGGGGTTGATTTCATGGCTTTGATTTTTTTCCAAACTACTGCTGCTGGAGTGTGGGTGTTAATTGTTGAGACAAAGTTTTCCCAAGAGGTTTTTTTACTTTGCTTCAGTGTTTGGCGTGCTTTGGCTCTCAGTTTTTTGTATTTTATTTTATTTTCTTCTGAGGGGAATTTTTTGTAGCTTCTGTAGGCTTTTTTGGATTCTTTAAGAGTTTTGTCACAGTCTGAGTTCCACCATGGTACTTGCTTCTTTGGTTGTTTACCGTTTGTTTGAGGGATAAATTCGTTTGCTGCCTATGTGATTAGGTTGTTGAAGTCGGCTAGGATAGTGTCGATGTTCAAGTTTGTATTGTTACTTGGTGCTTCGAGTCTGGAGATTTCTGCGAGTATTGCGTTTTGGTATTGGGACCAGTTTGCTTTTTTGATTTTCCATCTTTTTGGGTAGGCTTCGGTGGAGTTGGTTTGCTGATCTTGTATGGAGATTAGGATTGGGTAATGGTCGCTATCGTGGAGGTCATCTAGGGTGTTCCATTCAATTTTTGTGGCGATGTTTGCTGATGCGAAGGTGAGGTCGATGACCCTGTTGAAAACATCCGATAGATTCCAATAAAAAAAAAACTATATCGGAATCTATTGTGCTTTTGTCGCAGTAATTCCTGTTACATACCAATACCGATGATAGTGTGGAATAATCCAATGGGAATGGAAAAGTTCTATCGGAGTGTATACGTACGATGATTTCTGATGGAATATCCAGTTATGCCAATTGGCAAAGTTTTTTTTATGTCTATAAATGGGACTATCCATATAAAGTCTATTGTGTTTTTTACAAATTTCAAGAGGATGATCCTTTTAGAATTTATGATTTACACATCTAGTCTTTATCAGGATTCCCACAATCAAATTAAAATTTTTTCTATCGGAACCTATTTGTCAACATTTACTGAATATGACAAGAAGTGTGTTTGGATTTCCAGATTGGGCGTAGCTTGTAATCTAATGAATTTAATGAGGCGATTCTTTTAAAGTTTACAATTTATATGCTTGGCTTTTATCAGGATTTCGACAATTTTTTCCATCGGTAGCTATTTGTAAATACTTATTGAATGTGATAAAAAGTGTGTTTGGATTTCCAGATTGGGCGTAGCTTGTAATCTAATGAATTTAATAAGGCGATTCTTTTAAAGTTTATATTTCATATGTCTAGATTTTATTAGGATTTCGACAATTTTTTCTATCAGTAGCTATTTGTAAACACTTATTAAATGGGAAAAGAATTGTTTTTGGATTTCCAGACTGGGCGTAGCTTGTAATTTAATGAATTTAATAAGGCGATTCTTTTAAAGTTTACAATTTATATGCTTGGCTTTTATCAGGATTTCGACAATTTTTTCCATCGGTGGCTATCTGTAAACACTTATTGAATGTGATAAAAAGTGTGTTTGGATTTCCAGATTGGGTGTGGCTTGTAATCTAATGAATTTAATGAGACGATCCTTTTAAAGTTGAGAATTTATATGCTTGGCTTTTATCAAGATTTCGAAAATTAAATGATTTTGTAGCAAGTTATACAAAAATTGCTCTAGATTACTCAGACGTCTCTAAGTCTATAATACTTACTTAAATATTCGCTATATACACCGACTAGATACCTTTATCAATACATATATATTTACATTATAATGTGATGGACAAGAAGAAAAAATTACTATCAAAATTTTACACGAATTATGATGCGAAGCATCCACTTAGTCTAATTAATTTGCGCATTATTCGAAAGATAATTTAACGGAGATTAATTCTGTCATTAGTAAAAATCATTTTAAGATAACAGAATCAGAAAAACATATCAAAATTGTTAAAAGAAAATTCCTGTCAATCAAGACAACTTTCCGTTTCAAACACGATAACTTACGTAAAAATTCATGAATTCAATCAGATTTTTTTTTTTTTATTAGCTTGGCATTTACTTAGTGGAGATTACCATTGAAGATTGTCATCTTATTCAGTGTTGCGGTTTAATGATAGTAATGAAAAACTTTATTCAACTTATTTAAGACTTAACATCTATTACAAAATAGAATATTTAGTATTTTTTTGTCATTTTTCTTATTCCATGGAATCGTCGCTAGCAGATTTTGATTCCTCATCAGATGGTCCTGAGGAACCCTCTGAAGAGCTCGAGTCTCCTACCGACGATTTTTCCGAGCTGGTTGATTTATCATCATGGGTATTGTTTATTGGATTTGTTATATTTAGTTCAGGATTCATGTCCCCCGAAGCAGCAGCAGGTACTTCATTTTTGTCTTTAGTATCATTCTTTTGGCTAGCTTCACTTTCTACAACAAATACATTAAAAAAAAAATTATGTAAAATGTACCCGAAAATCTTTTGATATGGTTTTCAAAACTGCTCTGTTTAAAAAAATTGATTGAAAAGAATTAAAAACGATAAAATTCGAATTTTTTTCAATAACTTCAATTCTTTTGTTACTATATATAGATATACAGTTTGCATGGAACGACCGCTTCTCAATTCCTTTCAATCAGTATTTTTAATGAGGGTATAATAAAATGTATCTTAATAAAATTATATAAATACTCTTACTAGTTTTGTTTGGTTGTCTTGGTGCCTGGAGAAGGTCGCATATTTTTTGTCGAATATACTCCTCATATAAGTCGACTTCGTCCATCAGGGCTTGTCCAGTCATTTTTCTTTCCGTTTTTAAATAATATTCAAAAATATCTAAACAAAAATTTGAAACTTTTAATTTTAATAATGACGAAACGATCAAATTTATTTTTATAACTTCCTGCTAAGAAAAATGGAAAATTCGGGAAGTTATTGGTTTTACCCGGTTTTGCGAAAATCGAGTGTTCATCAGATCTCAACGTTTTGAGGTCCTAGGAAGCTGTTCTGACTATTCCCGCGATGGTGTCCGTGCGGCTGTGTGTGTGTGTGTATGTGTGTGTGTGTGTGTGTGTGTGTGTGTGTGTGTGTGTGTGTGTGTGTGTGTGTGTGTGTGTGTGTGTTGTTTGTTTTTTGTTTTTTTTTTGACAATTACTGTCAAAATTATGTAAAAATATACTTTGTTCGAAATTTTTAGACTACGATATCCCTTTAACAAATCAACCGATTTTAGTGCGATTTTCGGCAATAACGTTGTTCTTTAAGGTTACAAGCTGATAAGATTCTAGATATTATCGGTTCAATGTTTTAAAATTTATTTTTCCAAAATAACTTTTTTTTTAAGTTTATTTTTTAGATTTCTTACAATTTATTAAGCCGGAATGATTCAAATGGATACAAAATCTAAGGTCAATTGAAATCTTAGGAACACCCCAAACCGCATATCGATCGGTCAAGCCGTTCAAAAGTTATAAGGTTTACACACACATACACATATATACACCTACACAAAGACGCAAATATTTCAGAAGGAACTGTTGTGAATTATCATTGGAAGAAGTTTGACCTTCACTGAAAAAAAAGTTTTCTACGCTTCAGGATACAGTATCACTCCTGTCACCATACGCACGTTACGAAACACTGGATCGCTATGGTCACTACCCGTTTTGCTAATTTAGCGATCTATTGAATACACCTAGCGGTGACGGAGAAACTGACTTTGCATAATTTATTATTGATGTTTCAAATAATGATTTATATGATCGAAGCCAAGTTTTAAATATTTTATCCAGTAATAATAATTACGATAATAATCACCATGCACTTAATAATTGTCGATAAGCAATGACAAATGAGGATGAAAATTAATTTAACATATATTTAATAATTTTTAAAATTCTATAACAAATAAATTATGGGAAAAAAAATTAGAAAAAAAAATTGACATCTAGAAATTTTAAAAAATAAAAAATGCAATTTTTTTTTTAATTATTTTTTGGGACAAATTTTTTAGTTAAAGAAAATAAAAAAATTGTTAAGTGACTGCTAACTTTATGTCATCAAATGAGGTTAGGAACTTACGCCGAAGAACTGGCGCTTCGAGGTTAAATCGCGACCGTCAGGATCCGTTCCCTGATTATAGCGATATTCCGTTCACGGTACAACGGACAGTGAAGCGTAGAAAACTTTTTTTTCAGTGTTCATTAAAATCATTGGTAGCTTCTATGGGTTCTTCAAAAATTTAAAAGAAAACTCTTGATTCCTTGATACCAATCTTGATTTGCGATCGGCGCGAAATATAATTACAACCAATATTTAATGTAACTGGTTTAAGATCTTATTCAAATGTAATGTCAAACTGTAATATAAATTCTGTCAAAATCAGATGCTGATGAGACTAGAGCAGATTCCAGATCCAGACAAAAAAGTTTAAATCTGCTCAGGTCAAAAACATCAAAGGTCAAGAAAATTAAAAAAAATCAAATTACTTTTGTTTCTTGAAAATTACCTTTAGTTTATGGTAGAATCGATTTTTAATATGTAGGAGGCCTAAGGCGAGTGAGCTAACGTTAAACACCCTTAAATTTTGTTTTACTATAATAAAAAATCTCGTATCATTTGATAGAAAAATTATCGAAGTTTAAAATAAAACAGCGACATCGTAACATTTTGTACTGAACAACTACTTCATATTATTGAAAAATAGGCTCTTCAAAAACCTACTTTGCCTTAACCCCTTAGCCTAAAGTGGGTACGCTCTATGAACAAAAACAATCCTAATATAAAATAGAGATGAAATGGCATCAAACTATTCGTAACGTGATTGGTTGAATATATCATAAGCATGAAAATATATGCAAACTCTATAGTCAAGGCGCGCACTTGCGCGCGTAAATTCAAATTCTAGTCATATTAAAAGCTACCTTACCGGACGTACTATGTTGAAATCTTAGCGATGTACGTACCTAATTCAAAACATAGTTCTCAAACCTGACAATTATTCTACTCTAAAATATAATACTGATGCTGTGACCAATATTCGTGAAATCAAAAAGTAAACTTACCAATTCATAGGTAAATTAGTAATAGGTAGCTTTGAAAAAATTAAAAAATTTGGAAAAACAACAAAGTTCAATCTGAGTCATTGAACCGTCATCTTCGACTAATTGTATCAAATAAATTCAAAATTACGTGTGTTGTAGTTTTTAGAGGACTGAGACCTGCGAAAAGTGATAAATTATTCCGTACCTAAGGTAAGTGTAAGCAGCCTGGTGTTCACATCCAAGTCAAATTCAATGAAAAAATAGTAAACTCAATCGCTGTCATCACTCTTTCTTCAACTCATATTTTGCCATAACATGATTCCATTAAATGATCAATTCAGGAGTAAAGAAAAAAAAAATCTGGAAAACGGTTGACCCTGCAGGCTATCCCTTAGAACTTCCCGCTATGTACAAGTTCAAAACACTCGAGAAATTATTTATTCTGAAGTTTTAAGCTCTTTGATCTCAAAAACACAGTTTTTATACTTTTTCGAGCTCAAAAATCTGGTGGTTGTTGAAAACATAATCTTTCGAAAAAATTTTATTGCGATATTTTCCGATCGAATCAATCGTTTCTGATGAGGCTTGCGCATTCGACACAATTGTTCAAACACAAAAAGATTATTTTTCACGCATTCTCTGTGTGAAAGCAAGAGAGATAGGGCAAGCGCGTGGTCTTGCATATGCGTACCTTTCTGATTCGAACACTCGGCTCGGCACAATAGTCAAGGCAATAGTCATAATTACAGTTACTAATAGTAATCACGGAGTTAATAGTAGATTAAAAAAAAATAAAATCATGCTTCTGTAGTTAGCCGAACTAAAAAATAGAAAATAAATAATAGTTTAAAAAAACTAAAAAAACACGCTTTTACAAATAAACGAAACTAAAAAGTAGAAAATAATTATTTTAATAATTCAAATCAAAAATAGAGTGATAAATAAAAGAAATTATTTTAATGTAAAAAAGCGTGAGGTGCTTTCTGAAAATATTTCAATAATGTCGCTTCTATCAATATCTAGTCGAGTGAAGCAAGTGTGCGCTATGGGTAAGAGTACGCAAATTCATATATTTCAGTCCAAAGTTAATGGGATTGCGCACACTTACCCACAGCGCACACTTGTCCCACATGACTTTATCAATGGAGATATCAATGTTAATATCAGGCACTCCACGTTTTTTCACATTAAAATAATTTCTTTATTTATCACTCTGTCCTTAATTTGAATTATTAAAAAAATTATTTTCTACTTTTAGTTTGGTTTATTTATAAAAGCGTGTTTTTTTAGTCTTTTAAAACCATTATTTATTTAATTTCGGCCTGAAAAGGATTGATTCGCATTTATAGGTGTTAATTTTTAGTTTCTATGTGTGAAAGTAATTTTGAATATTTTGGAAAAGCTTTTGCAGATGGATGTTTATGTCTGAGGATTTATTTCCAATGACGTACACTAGTAAATCGTCAGCAAAAGCTATTGCTTTTTTGTTTCTATCAACGTTAAGTCCGTATAGTTTTAATAATGCCATAATGTAAAGGTTGAATAAGAGAGGAGAGTTGACTGTGCCCTGTTGAAGGCCATTTGATATTTTAAAGAAGAGGGTTGAGATATCGGGATCGCCCGACACTCGAAATGATCTGCCATGTACCATGTTCCATATGGTTTTTATGAAATGATGTGGGAAATGTTGAGCGAGAAGCTTGTAGAATACGCAGTCTAGCTGTACGGTATCAAAAGCCTTTTCTAAATCTATAAAACAGGATCCAACGCATCGACCAGCATTTAGTTCTCTGTATATATCTGAGGTGAATTTGTTTATATGCAACCACCTCGGCGATTTTCCATTCTGTAGGAAAGTAGGAAATATTGAATGCATTGTTAAATAAGATTGTGTAAAAATATATAATTTTAGAGGGAAGATGTTTTAGAATACCCGGGAAAAAATGATCAGACCTGACCATGCCTGTTCATGTATAATCAGGCCTGAAATTAGACACGATCATGTCTTTATAATATTAAGTACCCCGTCGGAGCTAGAAGATTTTTTGTTATTTAGTTTTCTATATATTTTTTTGAGTTCTGGGAACGAAGTAAAATAGTCAGGGAAGGGGTCGTTTGGGGGGCTTGTGGAGGGTACATTTCTTCAGAACTGTAAAAGAAAAGAGTTTATTTATTCTTCAATTTTGATTTTGTTTTTAAGGAAGTACGAGCGCTAGCCGGGGTGGGGATAGGTATCGACTCTAGCGCAGTAAGGGGAGAGCAGTAACTATATGATTTTTCTCAATATATATAGATATACATTTAACATTGGCTAATGGCGGTATTTATTTTTCTTTTAATTAATACACTTTAATTAGTCGGGCAAGTGTAAATTTTTTTGAATTAAATTTATCACTAATATATTTACTTTCATCCATAAGTTTTTTAAAAATATTCACCGACAGTTTAACGAGAAAAATACAGAAATATATCAAAGTTTGGAGGTTACCCCATAAGACCAATGTTAAATTGCTCAACTTCAAAGTTAATTATTTATTTAAATAATCGGGCAATCTCCTTCAAATTTTCGGAATTTATTTAAACATATTTAAACTTCATTTTTAAAAAAAATCAAGCCTTTTATCAAAAGTTGCCTTGGTGCTCGTACTTCCTTAAGTTCATTGATTTTGCTATCATCAACTAATCGCATATGAGCCTATACCCATACATGTTATTGTTTTGATTATTGGTTGCCTCAAAATGCGCCCCAATCAAGTTTAATTTGTCACAAGGTTGTGTAATGATACTGGCATTATTGTTGTCCTGTTGAGTGCACACATATTTTTTTTTATTCAGTAAGTATTTTGACTTGAATTATTCCTGAAGAAGTTATCAGCAAAAAACCATAAAAAGAGTGGTTTTTTTTTTTCAAAATTCGATATCTTTTGAACCGATGATCAAAAAAATCTCAACATCTCGAAGGAAGAGTTTTTTGATGAGTAAAAAAATAAAAAAAAAATTGAGGAAATCAAAAATAAAAATTTTTCAAACTGTCCGATGTGGCGTAGAATGTCCCATATACTTACGCAGATTCTGTGGAAATTTTTGAATTACCATGAAGAGTATCAATTGAATTTATCCACTTATAAATGAGAAATATTGAACATCACAGAGAAATTTCAATACTATCTGATAATAGTTGAAGAAAATATTGACCTTTAAAAAATTAACGTATAGATTTTATTTTATTTGCTACAACGTATTCGTACATTTCATTAACCAATAATAGCAGTATTAGTCAGTATTCGATGAAATCATTACATTATTAATGTCTTCTACCTAACGATGAGTAGGGCTCCCAAGAATTCAAATATCTGAGCGTTGCTTGCACGATAGTATCGACTTCTGCCATAGCACCAATACCTGTATCGCCGCACATCAAAGTCTTGGTAATGCAACTTATTTCTTTATATCCCCAAGATTTTAACAGTTCAACCTAAAAAATATCAATGATTTAATAGCTGCTCATAGTAAGGGAAATAGACATTTTTTCAAATACTCAGTTTAGTTTTTAACAATCAAACTACTATCCAGTGTAAAGAATTGAAGATTATAAGAAGCTATTCTTTTATACTGAAAAAAACCTAATTGAATTTGGATTTTCAGTAAATTTTACATCAGGTGGCTCCGTAAGATATTTGAAAATTCGACAAATAAAATTAGTGATAAAATATATTCACTAAATAACTTACATTTTAGTCCGTGTAAAAAATTATAATCTTTTTTGTATTTGAAGTTTAATATCTTAGCTAGACTTATTTTTATTTGTTAAAAAAAATCATTAAAAATTCCTGATCATATCTTTATCAAGTTTTTTAGTTAGATTAAACATGGCTAGACTTTTGGGTCTATTAAAACTACGTTGAAAATATAGGTGATACAATATTTGATGTATATATAGTATGCTAGTGGGTGTTTATGACAAGGGCCAGTTTTTCAAACCAGATTTTTTGTAAAAACAAAGTTTTTTCCTATGTTTACAAAAGAAAAAGCTCTTGGTTTTAATAAGAAAAAAAAATCATGATTTGAAAAACTTGCCCTCATATAGGTATGTAAGCTATTAATATATACTTCAGAAAGATTTGACGATGGTTGTCATTGGTTTTGTTTGTTAGAGAGTTGATGTTAATTATCTTGTGTAATAACATCCGTTATTTTACTCCTAACTTTGATGATAAGATACATAAAATCTTAAACATTAATGATTGAATCCATTAGTTTTTCACGAAAAAATTTATTTTTCAAATGTTCGTTATGAATTATCATAAGCTACAATTCAACTCAAAAAAAATTATTTTTAATAAGTTCTATAGAATTTTATAGAATATGAGATTCTTAGGAATAGTTGCTTTTGCAGAGATTTACAAGATTTTAAAAAGTTATATTAAATTTTACAGTTTAATACAGTTATATAAGATTTTCTTTTATTTCCCAGGGGCGGTATGAAAAAAAAAAATTGAAAAACGGTTGACCATCCCTGGAACTTCCTATTGTATTCGAGCTCAAGATACCTTGTATTAAATTTTCTGAAAATGAATCTATTGCTACTGTTAGCATTACAGGGGAGTAGATAGTGGTAATTCGTAGGAAATTTACTACTTGCAGGTTGTGGTTTGCTACTTGCAGGTTGTGGTTTATCACAAATTTAAGATTAAATACATTAGAAATATACTTTTTTTGTACAGCTATGTAATTAAAGTTTTCAAAAAACCTAATTTGTATATTTAAAAGTTTTGCAATTTTTAATCAACATTATTAAAATTAAAATGTAAAACAGGAAAAGTTTTTTATTCTTAGTCATTAAATGTGCTTAGAAAAAAATATACTTGTTTGCGGTGATAATTGCCAACTCATTATGTTGCAATTATTTTTAGATATTTTGAATAAACTATTGGAAAACATGAAAATAACTAAATTATTTATGAGTATTAAATTAACAGACAAATAAATTTTAACTTTATGGTTATAAAAAAAGTTCATAAAATTGCACAGGTGAAGTTTATAAAAATTCTCAAGCGCATTTATTGTGCTGTTATTTTAGTAAGGATTAAGTTATTTATAAGTTTTTGAAAAATTAACTTCCCCTGGTAAAATTATACCTATAGATTATTCAACTCTTTATTAAAGAAAAAAAGTAAATGAAATACCTGTGGAGCTGTAATTGGATGATCCCACATTCTAGTATTCATAGCCGGACAAAATAATAATGGTTTTTTAACATCCCAAGCTCGTGCGACGCATGTAAGTATATTGTCACAAATACCAGAAGCTATTTTACCAAGTGTATTAGCATCTAATGGCGCAATTAAAAATAAATCTGCCCACTTTGCTAAATCAATGTGAAGCACAGGATCACCACGATCCTGCCAAGCAGCCCATTCAACGGTATCCGAAAGAATTTGAGTTCCAGGAGGCAATTCTGATTCTTTCAAAAAGTGTTTAGCCCGTTCTGTTACCACGACCCGAAATTCAAGGCAATGATCACGTAATTTTTCACATAATTCCGGCAATTTAATTGTTGCAACACTCCCAGTGCAGCCTATCAATATTTTCTTTGTTGGAGCCATTACTTCTACTAAATCACAGATATTACCTCTGTTTATGTAATAGTTTGATTTAATATATATTCTTCTTACATATGCAACAACTCCATAAAGCGTATTTTTATTTCGATAGGTGTCTCTTTGTACGAACTTTTATTTTTGCGATATCGTTATTTACTTAATTTTTACTATTACATAAATTGTGTTTCCACATAACTAATAATTTGGCAGTAACGTTAAAGGCGAACAATTATTAAATATATTTCTGCTATTTATCCAATACAAGTTTCTATAAAAAAAATTTTACCTATGCAAAATTACAAATTAAAATGCAATTTCTGTAGATGGTTATTCATAATTGCCCCATATTTAAATGCCGTAATTTTTGATAATTTCAACTATGTAAAAAATAATTCAAAGCTTTGATGACGTTTATTTTATATTTTGCTGTCAATCACAATTTTTATTAATTGTTGGAATCTCCATTTGTTTTATCAATGAATATCCTATTATTATATTGATTTGAACTTTTTCTAGTATCTACAATCCAACTACTATTTTACTGAAACCATTGGACGCATATATTTTTGTATGCTAAAACAAAACTATATTGTAATATTGGTCAGCGACGATATGTCGATGATATTTTTTTGATCAATCAGTTATAAAAAAATATTTTAATACGTAATTTCAAAGTTGTTTTTCATCTGTATATTTTTTCCTTTCTATGGTTTATTTAAATTAAATTGTTTTGTTGATATTTCAGTTGAGATATTGATTTATTACTTAAAGTAAATAAGTTTGTTACGTTGATTTTTGTTGGTCGTGAAATCCTAATTTTGGCCATTCCTCGCGAGTCATGAGATTATGATCCATTCGACACTCGAGGTACTCTTTAGCAGCATCTCTACAAGTAGTATTATTATTTTTATTAAGACTTAAGCAACGCATGTATTTGACCATTGACTTTTTGCAAAAACCATCATGATCCAATGGAAAACTTCCCTTCTCTGGTGGAATAGGGTTAAAAGTTTTTTGACCGTAGGTGTATGAGGACATTACCAGTCATCAACCTGATTATTATTTTTAATAATTGTTTTTGATAAATAACACCACTCTTGATAGTTTACACTGATGCTTTAATAATTGTTGATATTTATATTTGTCGTACACCGCTGTGAATATTTACGTATAGAAAATATCGAACTACACTCAATTCAATGTAAAAACACCCTGAAAATAAAAATTTAATGGGCATGCGTGACCCAGTAACATGTGTCGCTGTTGAGAAAATTTTGTGTAATAATAAAATTAAGCTGTTACCTGTTATGCCCAGTGAGGTAACTAAATTGATCTTGCTGCCACCTCGCAGATAAATGGACAGGCTATTGTCACGCGGAAGTGATTTGATTATCATTATTAATTTAATAATTCAAATTACTGTTTTAATCTTACTTGTCAACTAAAAAAAAAAAATGACATAACCCTGATTTAAAAAAAGTATTGAACCATGCAACTGTATATCTATATTGTATGTATATATAGATATACAGTGTGTGAAAAGTATTGAAAAAGTATTGAATTACATACTTTTTCAATACTTTTCAATACTTTTTTTTAATCAGGGAATGAAAATAACTTTTAAACTGTAATACAGCCTGTTCCCATGATTTGATTAGATGTTAACCTCAAAAAACATAATTATAAAAGTAATCGTGTATCTCAAAAATGGGTACCCGGGAAGTGATGACTTCATTTGAATCCTAGCATTCGAATCAAAAATTGATTTTTCAATTTTTATCCCACCACTAGAATTAAAAATTAAACGTTTAATTTGTAATTATTATTAGTTAATTATTATTAGAAAGTATAACTAGTTTACAATTATATTTTTTCATAACCAGATTACACATTATCATAAAAAAATTACTCTAAAACAATTACCGATTTTTCTTTAACTTAAAAAAAATAAGGATAAAAAAAGACAAAAATAATTTTAATAATTATTGATAAATTCAAAACATATTGAAATTAAACTCTTGAAGGCCACTAATTATCGAGCTTCGTACTTTATTTTGATTGTTATTTTTTTTTTTTCGAAAAACAAATTTTTTTTTTAAATTTTGAAATAAAAAAATATTTACATTTGACAGTAATAATTCTGATCGGCCTTAGACCGACATTTACACAACAGACCTATTGGAAAAATGAAAAAATTTGTGTGACGATAAAAATTGTCACAAAAAACGGTATTGATGACTGTCACGTTGTATAAATTGAAAATACCGTATAAATTTCACATCTCTAGTTGTAACTGTGATGCTTCTAGATGTATCCAGCAGGTGACACTACCTGTCAGCGAAGCGCAAATTTAAATTATATTGAATATTTATTATATCGAGTATGTTTTTGTTTTGAGTAAATGATATTTTTCTTTTATATAAATAATTAAGCAGTTTCACAGTTATAGAGAAAACTTGATTATGGTTTGACATAAATAATAATAAATTTAATCTAATTTATAAAATACGAATATTAATTCATTATACCATAATTAATTTATACATAAATATATGTGAATGTGACGGAAAATATTTTATATATTAAATTAAGTTTCCTTTCCCGCGCTGAAACCGCTCAATTAGTAACAATTGTACATATGACTTAGTTTATATTTACGTCTATCCTAAGTTAACGTCATCTTTTCATAAACTTGGCATCAACTTTGAATGAACCTTTCGGGGTCATCTGAGTGATCCGAACGGAAATGTAGCCAATGTAATAATTGTAAAGGAATTAAAAAAGTAACTTGCTCTCTAACAAGTTATATACATTTAATACTTCATACATAACACTTAATATATGTCAAATAATAGTAAATTCTATATAATAAAATACACACATTAAAACATTTAAATATCATATTTATGAAAAAAATTAAACTGTAACCCATGAAACATTACAAAAGAACGACAATTGATCTGTCTTCTAAGTCTTCTAAGTCATAAGTAAGAAATTAGTTGTCAGTAAGGTAAATTTTTTTAGGTAACTGGCGGTGAAGGAAATTTAAATTATATAATCTAAATTCAAACAACCTTTATATTCTGAATAAGAATAATTCTTCTTGAAAATATTTATTGTTTTTATTTATTAAAATATATAAATATTGATTACTAAAATAAAACAAAAAATCGCTTAGCTTATTTAATGGGAAATTATTTATTATTCTTTATAAAGTAATTTTTTGTTAATTATATAAAATATTAAAATCAAACTATTTTTTATTTGTTTCAACTTAAACTATTATTCATCTATACACTTTCTCAAAATTTATCAAATATTAAAGGAACAAAAACATCTTTTTTTATTTAATTTTTTAATATTTTTGAACTTACTAATTATATATGATATTCCTATATTTTTTTAACTTTAATCTAAATTTAAACGAATTATATTTAAATGAATAATTTTTTCTTCTTATGTTATTCTAATTACATATATATAAAAAATAATTGTTTGTTTCATAATATTCATATGACAAGAACGTAATCATTGATAAATGTTGAGAAGGTGTAAAAATAAATAATAGTTTAAGCTGAAACAAATTAAAGAACAGTTTGATTTTAATATTTTATAGAATTAAAAAAAAAAAAAAAAAAAAAAATTA